AGAACGCCCTATCCACCGACAACCGAGCATTATGGTATGGGGTGCGATTACATATGGTGGACGTACACGTCTGCTGCGTGTATAGCAGACCATGACGGGTCAACGATACGTAGATGAGGTGCTACGGTCCGTTGTGCTTCCCTACGTTCGGCGGCGTCCAGGTCTCCTATACATGCACGACAACGTCCGAACGCACATCGGGCGTATTGTACAGACCTTTGTGGAAGAGCATCGTATACGAATGCTTCCTAGGTCAGCTCGTTTTCCGGATCTGAGTCCAATCGAACATGTTTGGGAAATGACTGGAGACTTCAACGTTATCCGGCTTCCCCGGCTAACGTTTTGGTGCTATGGAGGCGAGTTGAGGTGGCATAGTTGGCCATCCCTCTCGCTACAATACAGCGACTTATAGACTCCATGCCACGTCGTGTAGCGATGGTACGCGAAGTTCACGGGGGATACTCTCGCTATTGATGTTTCATCTCCCAGCAGAGTTGTGCCGCTCTCCATGTGAGAGTAAGTTACACTACTTTAGTACTACTTCCATACCAAATTTTATTCCGCTAGACACACGCGTTCAGATTATACAGGGTGTGCTCGTGAATTATTTCCAACAGTGTAGTTGCAACAGTGTGCACGGTCGGATAAACGTCGTCTCAGTTCTGTTAATGGCTGCTGTGAAAAGGTGGTGCCGGTATTTCAACAAATCTTTCTAGAAATTAAAATTATAGTTTTTTGTGCCAAGAGGTAAATATTTTCCCCTTTACTTCTTAAGCTTCTAGATATTTTTTCGCTGTTATTTTCTGAAATCTGTTTGATACAACATCAAGCAATTTTCACTACGAATTCATTCTCAATGTCGGCAAACATGGAATGCTAACCTCAAAAATTGTATAGCTTATTGTTTCCACAAACTGCGTATGGGGTACTTTCAGACAATTTAACGGGGCACATTCGAACTGTTCGAACAAACCCCGATTTGATTTATTCTATTATAAGTAGCTTTTAGTACTTATTTTTCTTCTAGAATGGTTCGCATATACAAACGAAAAACTGAAAGAGCCAGTATATCAGAAAATGCCATACAAGCGGCAATAATTGCTATAGTTGAAATTGGAATGTTTGTTAGACAGGCGGCTTCAGTACACAATATTCGAAAGTCGACACTCCAGGATCGCTTGAAAAGATTTCGTAAAAACCAAAATGGAGATTCTGGAAATGATAGCGATAATGATAAAAATATGTCTAAATATACAGCAAGACGTGTGTTTAGTGCTCGAGAAGAAAATTAAAATTAACATACCAAAACACTCGTACTTTGGCCTACGAATACTCAGTCAAGCTGGAAAAGCTTACCCAACTCAACCCAACCCAACCCAACCCTCCTTCGTGGGATACAAACAAAATGGCAGGTGAAGACTGGATAGCTGCTTTTATGAAAAGAAATCAAGATTTATCCCACCGAAAACCTGAAAATACTAGCCTCGCCAGAGCTAGTGCTTTTAATCTAACTAATGTGAAACAGTTTTTGACAATTATAGTAAACTAATGGAGAAATACAACTTCACGCCAGACCGGATTCTGAACTGTGACGAAACAGGAATAATAACTGTTCTACAGGCCCCTAAAGTAATTGCACAAAGCGGAAACAAGCAGGTTGGGCAGGTGGTTTCTGGGGAGCCTGGTACATTAGTAACATTCTGCGGAATTATAGCGGCTTCTGGAGATTTCTTGCCTCCTATTTACATCTTTCCCAGGGTAAAAATAAAAGATGAATATCTGTATTGTTCAGCACCAGGCTCCGTGTGTTTTGGATCAAAGACTGGGTGGATGACTGCTGAAATTTTTGTAAAGGTGTTGGCACATATCAAGAAGCATAAGAACTGCAGTGCCGAAAATCCAATATTACTCATAGTTGATAACCACGAGACGCACATTAGCATTGCTGCTATTTTGTATTGTAGAGCAAACTCAGCATCAAAGACTTTTGAGCTCCAATCCTAGGACAATGATTAAAATAAATCAGATTCCTCAACTTTCACGTGAACCATACTTGTTATCATTTACCCCTATAAACATCGTGAAAGCGTTTGCTAAAACAGGAATTTGGCCGCTAAATTCTCAAGATTTCTCTGAAAATTATTACCTTGCAGCAACGGTCACTGACAGGTCTTTCAGCACACCCGTGACAATTCAGGATTTAGATATTTTCGTAGCAAAACAAGATGTAATAAGTGAGATTCCAGGTCCTTCTGGAATCCAAGCTACTACTGACATTATCAAGAGAGAGAAAAGAATTACACGGTTGCTGATATTCGCCCTTTTCCAAGAGTACCCCCACGAAAGATTGTACATAAATCCAGGCAAGGATGCTCCNGAGGATAAATTAATGAAACTGAATACATATGTATTGGAGAAGAACAATAAGATCTGTCTATCTCGGACAAACAAAACAACATTACAGCTTATACAAATGCCTGGGTGTAAAAATATTGAAGCAGGATATACCTGATGAGGTGATAACCGAAAGACAGCTGCAGGGTAACAACAGAAAACAAATACAGAATACAATTCAATAATTCGAAGTATAACAACGTACAGCTGTGAAGTTTGGCTTAAAAAGGATAAGACAGAAAAAACACTAAAAGCTTTAGAAAGGGAGAAGAGCTACTGGAACATCTAATCTGGAAAGGATTAGAAATGAAGACATAATAAGATGACATAATAATAACTGCCCAACTTGGATGGTACGGGCATATACAAGACTTGGGTCAAGATCGACCACTAAAGAAAGTACTGTACACCACAAAGAAGAAGAAGAAGAGCACGAAGTGAGGCAGATTCGGACAGGGCACCGCCTAAAATAGTTGCAACAGTGTGCACAGTCGGATAAACGTCGTCTCAGTTCTGTTAATGGCTGCTGTGAAAAGGTGCTGCCGGTATTTCAACAAATCTTTCTACAAATTAAAATTATAGTTTTTTGTGCCAAGAGGTAACTATTTTCCCCTTTACTTCTTAAGCTTCTAGATATTTTTTCGCTGATATTTTCTGAAATCTGTTTGATACAACATCAAGCAACTTTCACTACGAATTCATTCTCAATTTCGGCAAACATGGAATGCTAACCTCAAAAATTGTATAGCTTATTGTTTCCACAAACTGCGTACGAGGTACTTTCAGACAATTTAACTGGGGCACATTCGAACTGTTCGAATATACCCCGATTTGATTTATTCTATTATAAGTAGCTTTTAGTACTTATTTTTCTTCTAGAATGGTTCGCATATACATACGAAAAACTGAAAGAGCTAGTATATCAGAAAATGCCATACAAGCGCAATAATTGCTATAGTTGAAATTGGAATGAAACAGTTTTTTGACAATTATAGGAAACTAATGGAGAAATACAACTTCACGCAGACCGGATTCTGAACTGTGACGAAACAGGAATAACAACTGTTCTACAGGCCCCTAAAGTAATTGCACAAAGCCGAAAGAAGCAGGTTGGGCAGGTGGCTTCTGAGGAACCTGGTACATTAACATTCTACGGAATTATAGCGGCTTCTGGAGTTTCCTTGCCTCCTATTTACATCTTTCCCAGGGTAAGAATAAAAGATGAATATCTGTATGGTTCAGCACCAGGCTCCGTGTGTTTTGAATCAATGACTGGGTGGAGGATTGCTGAAATTTTTGTAAAGGTGTTGGAACATATCAAGAAGCATAAGAACTGCAGTGCCGAAAATCCAATATTATTCATAGTTGATAACCACGAGACGCACATTAGCCTTGCTGCTATTTTGTATTGTAGAGCAAACTCACCATCAAAGACTTTTTGAGCTCCAATCCTAGGACAACGATAAAAATAAATCACATTCCTCAACTTTCACGTGAACCATACTTGTTATCATTTATTATTATAAACATCGTGAAAGCGTTTGCTAAAACAGGAATTTGGCCGCTAAATTCTCAAGTTTTCTCTGAAAATGACTACCTTGCAGCAACGGTGACTGACAGGTCTTTCAGCACACCCGTGACAATTCAGGATTTAGATATTTTCGTAGCAAAACAAGATGTAATAAGTGACTTGCCAGGTCCTTCTGGAATCCAAGCTACTACTGACATTATCAAGAGAGAGAAAAGAATTACACGGTTGCTGATATTCGCCCTTTTCCAAGAGTACCCCCACGAAAGATTGTACATAAATCCAGGCAAGGATGCTCCAATATTTACACCGACACGCCGGAAAAGGAACGAATTGGAGACATTGAAAGGGAGAAAATGATTAAACAAGCTAAGAAAAATGCTACAAGACAAGTCTTTCCAACAAAAAGTAAGAAATCAGAAAAAAGGCGGTTGTTGCCAAATTTAACCCTTGAAAGGAAGTTAGTTAAGGAAAGGAATTGGCAAAGGAAATTCCAGGTTGGGCCTTTTTCTTTTGTTTCGGTTTTGGGGTTTTTAAAACCAAAAAAGGCAAATATTCTTCTGATTCATCACATCTAGACAACATGAAGAAATTGATATGCCAGGCTTATCACCTAGAGTTTGAAACAATAATTGAGATCGATAATTACATTTTGGTTAAGTTTCGTACAAAGAAAGCGTCAAATGTTACATTGGCAAAGTCCTAGCTGTTGATGATCGATCTGATGAATACAAGGTCAGCTTTTTGAGAAAAAAAGGCTATACAGGTTTTGTTTTCCCGAATATCTTGGACGTGTCAGTGGTCCCTAGGTTTGATGTCATTTTGAAACTGCCACAACCTATCAAGTCAAGCACTACAAGAGTAAATGCAATAATTAAGTTTCCAATTAACTTATTCATTGTAGCCCGTTTCTTTTTTGTATTATAATTTTGGTCTCTTAGGTACCACACTGTCCGAATGTTCCTCGTGCACTTTTTTATAAATATTGCTGAGTGGAAAAATATGGTCTATTTTTAAGCTTTCCCCTAGTCTCCCCTAGTTGGAGAGAAGATATTAATAAGGAAAAAAGGAGACGTGGAGAAACAGAGATGAATGGTGATTATTAACGATTATTATTATTACTTATGATTGTTATTAACGATTATTAAGACGGATAAGGTGTTAACCTGATTTATTGTATATCTAGCCTTCTTGGACCTAAAAGCAGTTTTACTGCTAGGCACCGAGAAACACATATGGTTGATAAATAGATGAAGTCTGCGAAAAACAAGAGCTTAAGAGAAGAGCTAAGTTTCAGAACTCAAGTAGAGAAAATAGAAGAAAAATATATAAATACTGACATGAAAAGGGTTTTTCCAGTTGGAAGAAGTAATAGAGGAAGTGGCTTTAAAAAGGCAAAAAACTGCCGCCGAAGCTTTGTAGTTCATTGCCACTTGGCTAGGTATAGAAATAGTAAGGTAGTTAGTAAGATAGAGTGGGGGCATGAGAAAGAAGAGTAATATTTTAATTATATGGTTTTGTCAAATGTACGTTTCATTAAACTAATTCATTAAAACCTACAAATATGATACATTTAAATTTGAATGTAAATTATATATTACTGTCCGCCTTGATATACAAATAATTATTTAGTTTTATGTAAGAATAAGTTTAAACAAAAAGTACTTACCATTATACACAGTTCTTTTTTCCAGTTTCAGTTTAAAAATAATTTTGAGTAATTGTTTAATTGGAGAGATAAAGGGATTTTTTGATAATACAATCAGCACTAAAATTGTAAATGTTTTTTAACACCTAATCAGAGTTGTTTATATTTAAGTTCGTAAACCCAATGTTATGTATTCCTCAAGTTCTTTTAAGAAACTGTGTAAACCAAAGTTATTCAAAGTTTCTGTAAGTTATATAATTTCTTTAAATTATAGTAAAGCAACATGTGATGAGTAAGTAAAAAAATTAATATAATTTAATTTCTTAAATTAATCAAAGATATTTTTATACATAGTCAACCTTTTATTCCAAATGAAAAAAAATCAAAAAAAATAACCGCTAAAGAGATGGACGGTTTTTTAAAAGTGTTTCCATCTATAATCGACGTTTTGGACGATGACATAAAAATGCGAAATATACCAGATTTAGAAATGTCTTTTAAAAATGTTTTAATAAATAATGTTCCTAAAGGAAAGAAAAACAGAGCTCGACCATTCTTACACATTTATAAAAATGTTGAAAATTATGAACATATGAGTCCAAGAAAAACTCGTTTATCTTATATTTTGGGTTGGTGTCTAGAAATAGTAAGTAAAAACTTATTAAATGTAAACACGTTCTTTAAACATATTAGATTTTATAGATTCAAGCTGCCTGTGTCATACTTGACGATATGATGGACGATTCCAAATATAGAAGAGGAATGAAAAGTTGGCATCAACACGAATCTGTCGGTCAACGAGCATTCATAGATGCTCTTCTCTTAGAAAATTTCGTTTTCCTCGTTTTACAAAAACATTTTTCTCAACTCCCAATTTACGTTCCAATCGTACACCTATTTCAAGAAACTATGAGAAAAATGGGGTACGGTGAAATTCTTGATTGGATGGCCTTAAAAAAAAATAACCCCGACTTAAAAAGATTTAATCTAAATTATTATCAATCCATAGTTTACTACAAAACTACGCCATCGATTATTGAAAAGCCTTATTATTTAGCAAAGATTTTAAATAATAACTTTCAATCACCAATTTCGGAGGATTTAAAAAAAATTTTGATCAAAATCGGGGAGTTTTATCAAGTACAAAACGATTTTTTGGATTGTTATGGTGAGAATGATAATTTTAAAACTAGCAATGATATTCAAGAAGGAAAATGTTCATGGCTAATTGTAACCGCATTGGAAAAAGCAAATTTGCAACAAAAAAAATTGTTAGAAAATCACTACGGAAGAAAGGAACCTGAATCTGTTCAGATTGTTAAGGATTTATATAAAGAAATTAATCTACCTAAAGAATACGCTAAAAGAGAATGGGATTTTTTTGAGTTTATTAATAATAATATTGATGTGGTTTCCGCAATTAACGATTATGAATCTACCTTTAAACGTTTAGAGTATGTGTATGACAAATATATTTAACGCTATACATTGATTATATATATTTAAAATAATAGTGAATGCATTGCTTAAGGTGTGTGTTTTCCAGGACGAAATAAATAATATAGAAAACGGATGTCTCAAATTAATTTTTAAATTTAGCTTTTGAATCTTATGGATCAGAAAACAAGATACAGAAAATTTTTCAGAAGTACCTGACAAATAATTGTGAGAACTATAATATAGATGATTTACATCCACGTTAACTGTAGCTGTAATATCTGTGTTAGTAAGTATAGTAAGCCACTTGTAATTGACATTTCCAAGTCGGTATTGGTGATTTCAATGGGAACTGCACTTACAGTATTAAGAATACTAATACTAGTATTATTATTATTATTTGTGCATATGTCTCTCTTTGTAGTTTCGAATTTTAGCTTCAGGTTAGAGACAATATAAACTATTACAGCTGCTCTTTTTTTTTAATAATTAATAATGCCTAGACATATGAAATCCCCCATAAGTACTAAAGCTTCTTTTGAATGTCGCTTATGATGTTGGTAGCTGAAGAAAATTTGCAGCTACTTTTGAGAGTTCTGTGTTTTTACAAAAATCGGTCCACTAAGCAGTGGGTGAGATCTACAATGAAGTTTCCCACAAAAACTGCTCAGCAAACAAATTTTTTTACATCATCACACTTATGTTTCTGGGATTTTGTTTATATGGAATTTTCATCTTTCGATCTAAAATATTTTCAAGGTAAGGCCATCATTTCAGATCCACCGAAAGTAAATTACAAAATTGGTAGTTTAGTTTATTTTGATACCTAGAGCTTTTCGTTTTTCAATTATTTTAATTTTCTTTTTATTTCTGTTCATTTTTGTCTTGTTGAAAAAATATTTCACGTTTAATGTTTAATGGGATATCCGAAACAAAAGTAGCTCTAAATATTTTCAAAGACATCATAAACTAGAATCTTTAAGGTTCAATTTAACATACATAATTCTTAGAAATACAGTAGTTGCTATGATTATTTAAAAATTTGATTTCTAGATTCAACAATTTCTTCTTCAATAATTTTTTTTTGGAAATTTCAATTATAGTATTTATATAATAGTTTTTACATGAGATCATAAACTAAAATCTATAAGCTTTAATTTAACGTACATATTGTATAATCATTGTCAAAAATACAGTGGATACGATTTTTCTTTAAATTCGTGTTATTTTTTGATTTATAAATTCGAGAAATTCTTCATTAATAATTTTTCCTACAAATTTCAGTGATATTACCTTACAATTCTCATATCGTATCATAAACTAGAATTTTTAAGTTACAATTTAACATACATATCATATTATGATATTTAATAATACAGTCAATATGATTTTTTGAAAAATTCGTGTTATTTTTTTATTTATACATAAATTCGACAATTTCTTCTTTAATAATTTTTACTAGAAATTTCAATGACATCATCTCATAATTCTCATATCGTATCATAAACTAGAATCTTTAAGCTACAAATTAACATACATATCATATAATGATATTTAATAGCACAGTCAATATGATTTGTTGAAAAATTCATATTATTTTTTGATTTATAAATTCGACAATTTCTTCTTTAATAATTTTTACTCGAAATTTCAATGACATCATCTCATAATTCTCATATCGTATCATAAATTAGAATCTTTAAGCTACAATTTAACATACATATCATATCATGATATTTAATAATACAGTCAATATGATTTTTTGAAAAAATCGTATTATTTTTTAATTTATAAATTCAACAATTTCTTCTTTAATAATTTTTACTAGAAATTTCAATGACATCATCTCATAATTCTCATATCGTATCATAAACTAAAATCTTTAAGCTACAATTTAACATACATATCATATCATTATATTTAATAATACAGTCAATATGATTTTTTGAAAAAATCGTATTATTTTTTAATTTATAAATTCGACAATTTCTTCTTTAATAATTTTTACTAGAAATTTCAATGACATCATCTCATAATTCTCATATCGTATCATAAACTAGAATCTTTAAGCTACAAATTAACATACATATCATATAATGATATTTAATAGCACAGTCAATATGATTTGTTGAAAAATTCATATTATTTTTTGATTTATAAATTCGACAATTTCTTCTTTAATAATTTTTACTCGAAATTTCAATGACATCATCTCATAATTCTCATATCGTATCATAAATTAGAATCTTTAAGCTACAATTTAACATACATATCATATCATGATATTTAATAATACAGTCAATATGATTTTTTGAAAAAATCGTATTATTTTTTGATTTATAAATTCGACAATTTTTTCTTTAATAATTTTTACTAGAAATTTCAATGACATCATCTTATAATTCTTATATCGTATCATAAATTAGAATCTTTAAGGTACAATTTAACATACATATCATGTCATGATATTTAATAACACAGTTAATATGATTTTTTGAAAAAATCGTATAATTTTTCAATTTATAAATTCGACAATTTCTTCTTTAATAATTTTTACTAGAAATTTCAATGACATCATCTTATAATTCTCATATCGTATCATAAATTAGAATCTTTAAGCTACAATTTAACATACATATCATATCATGATACTTAATAGCACAGTCAATATGATTTTTTGAAAAATTCGTATTATTTTTTGATTTATAAATTCGAAAATTTCTTCTTTAATAGTTTTTACTAGAAACTTCAATGACATCATCTTATAATTCTCATATCGTATCATAAACTAGAATCTTTAAGTTACAATTTAACATACATATCATATCATGATATTTAATAATACAGTCAGTATGATTTTTTGAAAAATTCGTATTATTTTTTGATTTATAAATTCGACAATTGCTTCTTTAATAGTTTTTACTAGAAATTTCAATGACATCATCTGATAATTCTCAAATCGTATTATAAACTAGAATCTTTAAGCTACAATTTAACATACATATCATATCATGATATTTAATAATACAGTCAATATGATTTTTTGAAAAATTCGTATTATTTTTTGATTTATAAATTCGACAATTTCTTCTTTAATAGTTTTTACTAGAAACTTCAATGACATCATCTTATAATTCTCATATCGTATCATAAACTAGAATCTTTAAGTTACAATTTAACATACATATCATATCATGATATTTAATAATACAGTCAGTATGATTTTTTGAAAAATTCGTATTATTTTTTGATTTATAAATTCGATAATTTCTTCTTTAATAGTTTTTACTAGAAATTTCAATGACATTATCTTATAATTCTCATATCGTATCATAAATTAGAATGATATTATCTATTTAGCAGACTAAAATTACTTAAAATTGTAATTAAATTACTTAAAATTGTAACAGAAATATACTCTACACCATAATGAGCGACCTATATTGAGACTGGTTAAATTAGTATTCTGGTAAATGCACAATGTTACACAGCACATGGCGAGTGAAAGTAATACCTTTGAAAACCTCGAAACCTGAAGGCTTGACTAAAGATCAACGACAAAACAAAATTCTTTATTTAGAGTAAGAGACGGAGATATCGTGTGTTGACAGAGTTTTAATGAAAGTAAAACTTGACATTGTAGATGACATAATAACTTCCCAACTTGGATGGTGTGGACATGTACAAGAATTGGGTCAAGATCGACCACTAAAGAAAGTACTGCACACCACAAGGAGGAAGAAGAAGAAGAGTAAAAGCACGAAGTAGTTGGAGAGAAGTTATTGATAAGGAAAAAAAGATATGTGGAGAAACACAGATGAATGGTGATTATTAACAATTATTATTATTATTTATGATTGTTATTACCGATTAGATTATTAAGACAGATAAGGTGCTAACCTGATGGATTATAATATATGTATCTAGCCTTCTTGGACCTAAAAGCAGTTTTACCGCCAGGCACCGAGAAACACATATGGTTGATATATAAATGAAGTCTGCGAGAAATAGAAGGAAAAGCCAGAAGAAACAGAGCACGAAACAAGAACGTAAGAGAAGAGCTAAGTTTGAGAGCTCAAATAGAGAAGATACAAGAAAAGCAGCAGACATGAAATGGCTTCTTCCACTGGGAAGAAGTAATAGAGGAAGTGGCGTCGAAAAGGCAAGAAAGTGTCGCCGAAGCTTAGTACTCCATTGACACTTGGGTACATATAGAAATACCTAGAGGAGGTGAATCTAACACCCATGGTTAGTAAGGTAGAGTGGGGGCATGAAAAGAAGAATAATATTTTAATAATATGGTTTTGCCAAATGTATGTTTCATTCAACTGATTCATTACAACCTATAAAGATAATACATTTAGATTACAAATAATTATTTAGTGTTGCATAAGAATAAGTTTAAATAAACAAAAAGCGAAATTTCGGACTGGTTTAAAGCGGAAGATTTTCGAATAAATAAACGATTATAAATAAGGTCATGCAGTCCGAAATTTCGCACACCAGTTTCTTTTCAACAGCTGTCGATACAAGATAAAAGTTTTAAAAGTTTATTAAGTTGATACAGTTAAGAATGCTTGGAGATTTTCAGAAAAGAAATCATTTTAACATCTGACATTTTTGTCCCACTCGATCGTGCTTAGTTGACGGTAAAAAAGAAAATCTCTAATGTTTGTTAAATTTAGATTCTAAGTTGTTTACTCATGTTTTTATAGCAACGAGCCTGAAGACGGAAATAGTATTTTCCGAAACCGGTAGTTAAGAACAAATAAATTAATTTCTTCGAATTTTTTACATTTTACATAGTTAAGTTCATACTTAAGCATATATAATTTGCACGTAACGTTTGTGTCTAACCCAGTGTTATGTATTCGTCAAGTTCTTTTAAGAAGCTGTTTAAACCAAAGTTATTCAACATTTCTGTAAGTTATATAATTTCTTTAAAATATAGTAAAGCAACATGTGATGTGTAAGTAAAAAAATTAATATAATTCAATTTCTTAAATTAATCAAAGATATTTTTATACATAGTCAACCTTTTATTCCATATGAAAAAGATTCAAAAAAAATAACCCCCAAAGAGATGGACTATTTTTTAAAAATGTTTCCATCTATAATCGACGTTTTCGACGATGACATAAAAGCGAGAAATATACCAGATATAGAAATGTCGTTTAAAAATGTTTTAATAAAAAATGTTCCGAAAGGAATGAAAAACAGAGCTCGATCATTTTTACACATTTATAAAAATGTTGAAAATCATCAACATATAAGTCCAAGAAAAACTCGTTTATCTTATATTTTGGGTTGGTGTCTAGAAATAGTAAGTAAAAACTTATTAATTTTAAACATGTTATTTAAACATATTACATTTTATAGATTCAAGCTACCTGTGTCATAGTTGACGATATGCTAGACGATTCTAAGTATAGAAGAGGAATGAAATGTTGGCATCAACACGAATCTGTCGGTCAACGAGCATTCATAGATGCTCTTCTCTTAGAAAATTTCGTTTTCCTCATTTTACAAAAACATTTTTCTCAACTTCCAATTTACGTTCCAATCGTACACTTGTTTCAAGAAACTATAAGAAAGTTGGAGTACGGTGAAATTCTTGATTCGATGGCCTTAAAAAAGAATAACCCCAACTTAAAAAGATTTAATCTAAATTATTATCAATCTATAGTTTACTACAAAACTACGCCATCGATTATTGAACAGCCTTATAATTTAGCAAAGATTTTAAGTAATAACTTTCAAACACCAATTTCGAAGATTATAGAAAAAATTATGATCAAAATCGGGGAGTTTTATCAAGTACAAAACGATTTTTTGGATTGTTATGGTGAACATGATAAATTTAAAACTAGCAATGATATTCAAGAAGGAAAATGTTCATGGTTAATTGTAACAGCATTGGAAAAAGCGAATTTGCAACAAAAAAAGTTGTTGGAAAATCACTACGGAAGAAAGGAACCTGAATCTGTTCAGATTGTTAAGGATTTATATGAAGAAATTAACATACCTAAAGAATACGCTAAAAGAGAATGGGAATTTTTTGAATTTATTAATAATAATATTGATGTAGTTTCCGCAATTAGCGATTATGAATCTATCTTTAAACGCTTACAGTATTTGTATGAAAAGTATATTTAATACTGAAAATTTATTATAATTAAAGTAATAATGTAAAACTAAAGAGGTGTTTTGGAAATTGCACAGCATTATTTTGGGTGTGTATTCTCTACCACGAAATAAATAATATGGTAAACGTATATCTCAAATTAATTTATTATTTAAATATATATATTAAAAACCGACGACTTCTGATAATATTGATTTTTCCAATACTCGAAATATACAAACTAAAATTCCAAAACTATTTTCTATAATTTTTTTACACAATATAATTTATAATTGTAATTTTTTTGGCAATACTAAGTGCACTCTTAGAAGAAGCTTTACCAAATTATCTTCAACAGGAAATCATGTATCGGCTAGTATACTTCTTTTAAAAGCATTGAACATGGACCACAGCTACATACAAAGCTCTTCCGTTACAATCAACATCAATGTATATGTCGTGGTGTAAATTTGGTTAGCCTTGCGGCCACAATGTGTTACCGAATCAAGAAATTAGGACTATAAGGATGTTCCTCAAATACTACTTGCAAACGCACGATGACAAAAATAATTTAATACGAAATCATATCGACTTAATATTGGTAAAAAATCATCACAATGCAGAGGTAATGTAAATGAAAATGCAACGTTTTGAACCTCTCAAAAAACAAAGCCCACCAAAGAAAATAAACGTAAAATTATTAAACAATCCAGAACTCCGTGCTCAAATAGCAGATAAATTAGACTCTCGATTACAAAGAATGCAATAAATAAACTGGGATTAATTCAAAACAGTACTTGAAGACCTACTTGAAGAAATTCTACAACTTATGAACGAGAGAAGACTACAGAAAAATAAAGGGGTGTAGTTGTGCGTCTTTTAAAACGGCTAAATCCGAATGTTGTAGATCTAGTGTTAGTTCTAGTTTTAGTTCAATAAAAATATGCGACAATCTAGCGTTGAATAAGAATTAAAACTAATACTAGACCTAGAACTAGTGAACAATGAATAATAATGAATACTGAACACCACGTACAAGATACACGCGAAGGTATTGCTAGCGAGGCTAGAGAAAGAGATAGAGGAGAGGGAGCTCTTGCCAGATGGTCAGGCAGGGTTTAGAAAGGGAAGAGGAGCGATAGACAACGTGAGGAAACACCTGGTAGACAGAGAACTAGATCGAAATGGAGAGAAGCTTTATGCTCTATTTATAAATTTAAAGGCAGCGTTTGATAGAGTAAAATTATGGGATGAGATGGGGAGAAGAGAGATATTGGGAAGAATGGAAAGAATGGGAAGATCGACAGGGTGAGAGGGATATACGCGGAAACGGTAGCTAGAATAAAGGTGTGAGAACAACTAAGTGAAAGGTTTTGGACAACAAGGGGATTGAGGTGGTGATGTCCGTTTAGTCCTAGCCCTTTTTGCTTTGTACACTGCTGACAAAGAAGATAGACTGGCTGCGGGACAGAAAGGGGGAAGTGATGATCGGAAGGTGCAAGTACTGGTGTGTGCCAAGAACTTAGTAGCGATCGCGAGGAAAGCGGGTGACATAAGGGCAACGATGCAATATCTGGAAAGGTATTTTATGGGGAAGGATTTGGAGGGGAACCTAGACAAAATGAAGATGATGAAGTTTTGTAAAGAGGGTTTAAGGAAGACTTGGGGTACAGATTTAAAGAGAACAATAAGGAAGGCGGGCAAATTAAAATGTTGACAGCGAAAGCGTATAAGGTTATGGAGCAGGTTTGAGGATGTGGTGAGAGGATATTTGGGAAAGATGTGGGAAAAAGGACAATAATGTTTGAGAGCTTGATAAAAAGCGTTGATGATGAAAGCTTGATAGAAGCGTGATGTATAGGGTAGAGATATGAGGATGGAAGCAGCAAGAGCTATTAGAGGATGTGCAGACCAGGTACTGAAGGTGGGTGCGGGTGTTGGTGTTGGTTAGGGAGAGTCCGGGATATATAGTCAGAAAAGAAATTAGGTAGATAAGGTGAGGGTGGAGGCAGGTAAGCGAGCGGTGCGTTTTGAGGAGAAGTTGGAGAGAAGGGTGTATTGTAAAATCTTGGGGGAGTGCAGCAGACAGATTGAGGCAGGAAAGGATCGTTATGGGCAGCGAGAAAAGGAGGAAAGAAAATGGAGGTGAACAGAAAAAGAAAGGAGGAGATTGAAATGTAGAGACAACTGGAGGGCAGGGATAGGGACGTGGGAATGCAAGAAAGAAGGACTGAGATAAGGGAGAGTAAATATAACCCAAAATACGGGGAGATTGTAACGGAGATTGGATAAGGAGGGAAGGAGGTAGGTGGTTAGATTTAGGTATGATAGCGAGAAGAAGGCCTATAGATTGATATTGGATGGAGGATGAGGAGAGATGCTGTAAACTGTGTGGCGAGAGCTGGGAGTGTTTACACCACCTGCTGGTGGAGTGTAATGAGTTGAGGGAGGAAGAGATGGATTAATGAGCTGGGCGAGAGGGCGGAGGGAAAGAGATGGATGGGGGAGGAGGTGGCAGAGAGGAGACGTAGGGAAACAGGGAGAGGTTGGAGAAAAGGATAGGAATTACATTAGTATTGGTATTGTAGTTTTTAAATTGTAACTTTCTGGGAAACAATAAATTATTAACACTAGATCTTGAACTAGAAATATTCGGATTTAACCGTCCCAAGAAACGTACGGCTAAACCTGATTGTTTTTACTTATAGGTCTAGTGTTAGTTTTACTCTTAGATCAATAAAAATATACAACAATCTAACGCTGAATAACAATTAAAACTACAGTTAACGCTAACACTAGTTCTAGGTCTAGTGTTAAATATAGTAAAAATATACTCAAAATTTACAACTGTTATACATGAACAACGCCAAAACTCTGAGAGACATCACGTCTTGCTTGGAACCAAATTGTCTATTATACTAGCCAAATAATATAATTTGATCCGCAACCTTATTATAAACTGTAATTTAAAGATCTTCGCTGATAGTTTGGTCGCACCTCACTCGAGTAGCAAAATCAAAAGTCATAATCACCAATTGGATGAATTCTGTTTTTTAACATCCTACAGACTTTTTTCTGTGCCCTATACAGATTATGGTGCATATCACTTGTGAACTGTCTCCAGTACTCCCTCTTGATGGCCTTGACGCCTGCGTTCGATAAGTTTCTTGTTCGTATACATATATGTATATCATATATTGCTGTTCTGTTGGCGAGCTTTTCCTTTTTATTATCGGTTCTCTTATTTTTCCACAAAACCATAATTTAGTGTGGTTGGTGGCATTTATTTATTAACTTTTCGTTTCTCTATAGGCTCTTTTACAGCTTCTTGTATGCTGCTTTTTATTTGTACTGAATTTGCCAGTCTGTTTTCGTAGAGTTTTCGTGTACATTCTGCTAATAGGGATTCAATGTTGTATTATTCTAGGTATATGGGCTTTTTTGGTCTTGGTTGGGCGTTCCAACGGTATTTTGCATAAAATCAGGTTGTGGTCAGTACCTAACTTGGCTGATGGTAGGATCCTCACATCGAATAACCGTTCTGTTTGTTATTATGAAGACAATGGTGGACCGATGTCCTCTGATGTTGTAGAAAGTATTCTTGTGCTGTCAGAAGTTCGCCATTGTTGTTAAATGTGCTCTCTCTCGTTTTCCCATTCCACTGTATAGTAAGATGTACTCTCCATATTTTGATGTTCCTTGACCATTTCTTTTAGTATCTGATAACACACATATATCGAGTTTGTGCTTTTTCATCTCGATTATAATTTCCTGATCCAACACTAGCGTGTTAACCTGATCATCTAACCTCACGCAGGCAGCTAACCTCATCTAGCAACCCTTCTGCCTTATTCGGGCTTGGGTCCGACAATGCAAGTTGTTGGGCTACTCAACCAACCTCACTTACAATTATCGCATCACATGTTCGTTTACGAGTGATAAACATTCGGAACTGTTCTTAGAAGTTTTTAATCACTGTCATTAGCAGTCGTGCGAATTTCTGCATGTGATTTTTATCACACGACAATACTATAATTTATTGTCAACTGTTTCACACATTTTGTTTGTACTAATACATGATTTTGTAGTCGGTTAATATGACACGTTATTATAATAATAAATAAATCTCTAACTCCAGCAATTGACAACCTTAACCCATTTTGTGAAGTAATTAAACAAAGCAAAACAGATACAAACGGTTAACTATCATTTATGAATATTTTTAGTAAAACTATGATTAATTTTATTAGGTTTAAAATGTTAGTTTTATTTTTAAAATAATATATTATGTTAGTTATAATGTTTAAATCTAAAGAAACTCGTAATTGTATGACCTACAAAAATAATTAATGGAAAAAATAGTACATAATTTATTCGTTAACATTAATTCACCTACAGTACCTAAATGACTTTACTACTTAATTCTTCGTTGTATTTTAAGTTGAATTAAATATGTTTAGAGTACACCAACTTTATCGGATTGTTAATTCATCCTCAAAATATTTCCACAAAAATAATCTTTTTCACAGAAATATTATGAGGTATTTGATTACTTTTTATTACACTTTCTTTTTGTTAACTTGGGCACTTTTCAACGAATAATAGTGGAAATGATGAAATTCGAATGAGCCAAGTAAAAGCCGTGTTTGAAAATACGATAATTAAAGACTTAGTAAGCGATCCAGATCTGAGTGATATTCCAGATGTTGTGGCCTTGTATAAGAGAATGTTAGAAGAACTTGTCCCAAATGGACAGAACCTTCGTTTAATGTCATTTTTAAATGTTTATAAACGAATGGAAGACAATAAAAATCTTTCAAGCGAAAGAATTAAATTGGCTTATATTTTGGGGTGGTGTATTGAAATGGTAAATAACTTTTTTTAGATTATTTAGTACACCTATTTTTTGATAATTTTTAAAGTTTCATGGCGCAAGTGGTGCTATAGATGATTTATTTGATAAATCTGAATTCAGAAGAGGAAGAACATGTTGGTATAAACATGAAGGTGTTAACGAAAGAGTTCTTTTGGATGTAATTTTTATTGAAAATTAGGTGTATGAAATTATTCAAAAATATTTCTCACATCTCAAAGTAGACCGCCCGTTAATAAATCTATTTCAAAAAACGGTTCAATACCTAATATTTGCTCAAAGTTTAGAGAAATCAGTTGATTATTCCAGTCAACATCCTAATTTAAACAAATTCACGAAAAGCTTTTACAAGACCTTAAGTAAATATAAAAATACGACTTTTATCGATTTCCCATATAGATCGGCAAGGTGTTTAGCGAATAAATACCAAACTAAAATTTCAAAAGAAGATTATAATATGTGCCTTATGTTGGCAGAGTTTTCTCAAATACAGGTATGTTTATTTTCAAATTTAAATCTATTAATATACATTTTTGATTTCTTTAAGAATGATTTTATGGATTGTTACTACAATATAGATAATTTCAAAACTGGAAACGATATCGAAGAAGGAAAATGTAGCTGGCTTATTGTAACTGCTTTAGAAAATGCGACACCAGAGCAAAGGAAATTGATTGAAAATCATTATGGTAGAAAAGATTCGAAATCAGTTAAAATAATTAAAGATTTGTTTCAAGAATTAAAAATTCCTAAGTTGTATAGTTTATGCGAAGAGGAATTTTTTTATTTTATCGATAAAAATGTTGAACAAGTTTCAAACATTGCATACCATAATGTTCTATTCAAACGATTAGATTTCTTGTATAAGGCTTATTTATGAATTCCTTAAAGATGTTCAAAGAATAATGTAGTGAACAGGTGGGCATAGAATGTCTTTTGATTCTTCCTTATATTTTTGTAAAGATACTGTTTTCTTTCTTTAGTCATTCCTAAAAAAAATTAATTAAAATAGTTATGAGGAGAAAATTAGTTTTTGAATACTAATTAATTTAATTAATTTAACTTACCTGGAGGTGTTATTTCTTCTGGAAATCCGGTTCTGATGGGAAAATTGTAAAAACAAACTGGTTTCCGTGGATATTAGTTTTGCATAGTACTTTTCCTTTGTTGTTTTCATTGAACTCAAAATGGTTGTACTGAGTGATGAGATATATTTTCTTGGACTTAAAATCCTTAAGAAAGTTAAGCCAGTCAAACAACTGGATCTTAACACCGCCCTTTTCATTTCCAACGGACACAGCTTAGTTTACTTTAGAAGTTGAAGTAGACTGAAATGCGCAATCAATTAGTTCTTGGATAGCAGAAATGTACATTGTTCTGAACTTCTTTTTAAAGAGCCCAAATGCCCAATAACAAGAAAATTTAGTGTGCCCTGTTAGGCCATATCGAAACTGTAATGGACACTTGTCTCATGCGGATTATCAAGAGAGTCTATGGTCGTTTTTATTATATTTTTGTAAAATTGTCTTTCATTTTTTACCAATTCTAAGTGCGCCTTCTTTTTTTCTACATTGCTTATTTTCTCTTCTTCACTTGCAACCACCGTAGCAGCCCCAGAAGTATAATGTTTTTGGCAAAAGGAGCAGTGGTCTCATGATGACAATGGTTGAGCATGTCTCTCGCCAAATGTTTGTGAACACTCTTAATGATATAGATTTTTCAACCATCTCCTCTGTGAATGATTGTTTGTAGATATCATAAATTTTTTTCTTGCTATTACCAGAAGGGAACAGTTTTAGATTGGTGTTATATACAGTACTACTTCTGTCTGGAAGATAAATCGCATGTTGCTCAGCATAATTGTTCAGGAACTTCACAACGTACTTTTTGTCAGTAAATGAAGTAGCATTCTTAGCAATTTTGTTGGCGTTATCATGGACCTTTGCAACAAATCCACTGTCATTGTACATTTTCGTTTTAATCCCTTTGTTTTGATTTGGAGATAAAACATGTAAGTGTCCCTACAAACCTGCTGACCTTTGATTAAATAAGTACATTGTAGTTGTTTTCTAGCAAAATTTTTCTTGTAACTACGTTGGGTTTGATCAGAATCATTTCTCAAAACATCGCAGTTGGCCCAATATTACTTGATCCAATATGTTGATGTTGTCGACTTCAGCAGCTTCAAAGCGCATTTCTAAATAGGTATTTAATGAGAATTTCTCCAAAAAATCTACAATAAGCTGGTGATCATTTTCACTGGAATAGTTGCCTAAATTATCATTGATTTGTTTTAAAAGTACAATTTCGAGACTTTCGCATTTTCATCAACTATTTCTAGGTCATTTGATTTGCTTCAATTTCTATTACATTTTCATCAACAATAGGAATGTCGTCATTACCGAAATCCGCAGGATCCAACGTTGGTACTTGTTCAAAAAAGAAGTCTGCCAGTAGGCCTTGGTTAACATCCTGTTTAGTCTCTTCATCGTCTTTACTTGATTTGTCACTATTTCCCGATCGCACATCAAAATAATGATGATAAGCTTCAACATCTTCCTCATTTACTGGTTTATTCAAGCCTAGATCTTTTAAAAACTTCGACACTTTATCTTCATCCATTGTGAACACAACACATCGGCAACACAACACTCCAGCTGTCATTAGCTTATGCTGTCAGTTTACCATAACCAACTACTTTTCAGTAGTACTATTTCAAAGTAGGTTATTCGTTACACGTGATTATTGTAAAGAAACTGTACTTTTGAGAATTACATTAATTTTGTAATTTATTTTGAATATCATTTCTGTTACCTTTTAGTTTCTTAAATTGTAATTGAGTTCTTTTGTATTCTTTTAATTTTATTTTTGTATTTTAGAGGAGGCTGTTGTGGGGATTACCCTGTATGTATCCCAAATAGTGAAATAAATATACAGGATGATTCAGTTTTTGATTGAATTAACAAATTTTCTACAAACGTGATTTTCTTATTATCTAACAGACCAATTGTTAGATAATTTATCACTTTACACGCGTAGAGAGCAATGGCGCAGATAATATTTTTAAAAAAGTGCATTTTATTGCAGATAATGTTTAACTTTAAAGAAACTTTGATCCGCTATTTGCGACCCCATGTATATTAACTATTCATCTTAATTTTTCCTAGAATTATTCATCTTAATTTTATTCTAGAAGTCTGTCAGCGGTTTTTTGAATCACCCTGTATAAATAAATATAGTTTTTAACATTCCTGTTACAGATTGTCTATTTCACAGAAAAAAAACAATATAAAATATAATATATATAACTTGCAATGTGTATCGATATGATCTTTTTATCACCAACTTTTTATATGCATCCAGTTGTTTTGTTAAGATTCCATCTTGGTGACTCATTTTTTTCGAGGTGTTACAATTTTTTTGGCACGTAGTGTTTCAAAATAATTTTTGAAGCAATTAAAGATTTTATTTCGTACCTTGGTTCGAGTGTCATTTTACTTAAACTTTTCTATGTGATTTAATTTAAGGATTAGAAAATAAATCGTTGTTATAAATCGTGGACTGATTACATTTTCCACGATTTTCGTTATCAATATATCAATCTTTAGAAAACAGGATATCGTTTAATCACTTACTAATTTATTACTACTGAACGATTCCAGCGTTTGAATGTCATAAAATAAAAAATTCAATTGTGCGATTATTCGACAATCAGAAAATTTACATAGAAAAAATGATAAGCTGGGATTTATATAAGCAGCAATCTTTAATTTGCAATACAGTATTCGTTATTGTTGCTACTTAAAACAAAACACTTGAAAACATGAGTAAGTAATTTTTATTTTTATCTTTTTAAAGTGATTAAACGCAACGAAACATTTTTAGGTAAACTTCTATTAATTGCTATCATCGGAATCTGCATCCAAGCATGTGTTGGTTTGGATCCGGACTGCTCTGTAAATGATCCTTTAGATTTAACTTTTTATCCCATGCCTCGCTGTAATAAATTTTACCAATGCGTTAATGGTGAACAATTAATTTTTACGTGCCCGGAAGATCTTGTATTCAATTTTCAAGCGCAAACTTGTGATTATCAACAAAATGTTGATTGCGAGAATCAAATTGCACCAACTGACGGTCCAATTATTACTGAGGAACCAGTTACGAATCACCCACAATGCGGACCTGAAGTAGATTTAACGTTTTTCCCAATGCCAAAATGTAATCAATTCTTCCAATGCGTTGATGGTCAACAACACGTTTTTACTTGCCAACAAGGACTCGTTTTTAACTTCCAAGAACAAGTTTGTGATTATCCCGCAAATGTTGATTGCGATAATCAAGTTTCCCCAACTCAAGGTCCAACGGGTACTGAAGAACCAGTTACGAATCACCCAAAATGTGGACCTGAAGTAGATTTAACGTTTTTCCCAATGCCGGAATGTAATCAATTCTTCCAATGTATCGGCGGCCAACAACACGTTTTTACTTGCCAACAAGGACTGGTTTTTAATTTCCAAGAACAAGTTTGTGATTATCCCGCAAATGTTGATTGCGATAATCAAGTTGCCCCAACTCAAGGTCCAACGGGTACTGAAGAACCAGTTACGAATCACCCACAATGTGGACCTGAAGTTGATTTAACCTTTTTCCCAATGCCTGAATGTAATAAATTCTTCCAATGTATCGGCGGCCAACAACACGTTCTTACTTGCCAAGTAGGACTCGTTTTTAATTTCCAAGAACAAGTTTGTGATTACCCAGAAAATGTTGATTGCGACAATCAAGTTGCTCCAACTCAAGGCCCCTCAAGTACTGACAATCCAGTTACGGTCCACCCGCAATGTGGACCTGGTTTTGATTTAAGTTTTTATCCTATGCCTGAATGTAATCAATTCTTCCAATGTATAGGCGGCCTACAACAAATTTTTACTTGCCAAGAAGGACTCGTTTTTAATTTCTACGAACAAGTTTGTGATTACCCAGAAAATGTTGATTGCGATAATCAAGTTGCGCCAAGTTAAACTTAAAATTTAATAAACTCTACGAATGTGTTTATTACCGAAAATAAACAAGAAATTATTTTTAATTATTATATAACTAATAATAAAAGTTGTTAAAAATAACAAAAATTAATTCTTAATTATGATTTAAGTAAATTAATCTTTTTAATGATTCAATAAACTTTATTTATATTCTTATCATCATTGAGGTCTTTTTTTGAAATCACACGATGACTTTGTAAATAATCGACATCCTTTTACAACCAATTAATTAATCAAATTTTCGTAGAAAATTCCAAGAATAAAACGTACTCGAGGTCCTTTTAATTAAATGGGTAATGTAATTTATCATTCATTGATATATCTCCCTTGTCTGTACAAAATATCGATCTGTACGAGCTACAAATAATTCGTAATCGTTCCGGAAGCTAGATGATCAATCGGGTGGTTTATAACATTAAATTGTCGTGTATATTTTTTTTGTTAAACTTAATACTGGGTTTTTGTGATAAAATCGCATATTTTTTTTGCAAATATTACACAATCATAGCATATCTGAATCATCAGATACCAAAAAAGATAACAATGGATAAATTCGGAGAAATATGTTTATACTTTGAAGTAAAAATTATTTGAGGCGACGTAAATAATCGAATGCGACGTTAATCATTAAAATGGTATTGCGTTTAAATTATATTAATGTTTATGTATTTCTTAAACTGATTATTTTTTTATTGACGTATTTTAATATCTACATGTTTAAATCAGTAATCATAAAATTATTATTCGGATTGATGTTGTTATTGGTGTTGATAAACTGTTACAAGACTTTAGTTTTATAATGATTAAAAAAATACTCCATTGTTTCTTAGAAATCCATCAGACTAATTTCAGAGGAAATAAAGATAAACATGATAATTATTGTTTTTTATCGCGGTCAAAAGAATTATTTTTTCGATAAAATTTTCTTTTAATATTTCTTTTTTTGTGAAATATTGCGTTTTATATTTATTGATACATAGATTAGAATAGAGATAAGATATTTATATAATATTCCGACTAATATTCGCCTATAGGAATTAGGGAACGAAGAACAACCTGTTGGACTCTTCGAGCGCAATCACAAATATTCCTTTTCTCTATAATATTTGAGAATTATTAGTAATCGAAATGATCGTATTTCATTTAACTCAACTAATAAAAAGTTGCTTCCGCACTTTCAACATTAAAACCCAATTCAGATTGATATGACAATAGATGTGACGGAAAGTTTACTGGTATTATCAGATATAATCACTACCTCAAACCAGAAGAAAAGATTTTATAAAAAGATTCGTTAAAATTACTCGTAATTAATTAGCACTTAATTACTTTTGTATGCAATCAACTCATCACTCACTTTTGAGTTAAAAGATTACTACATAGAAATTTTGGTATAAGTATTCCAACTAAAACTAGAACTAACACTAAACCTAGAACTAGAAACTTAAGGAATATATGTGTGCAATATATGGCACTGTATCCTGCTAGCGTTAGACAGTAGGAGGAACACGATTTTCGCATACAAACATTCATAAAGAGAGATGGAAATCCCTCGAAAATGGCACTGTTAACCAGATATTAAACAGACTAGTAATGGCAAAACTTTGAGATAAAATATCCACCGCAAACAACGTGAGGTTCAGATGAAGAAACCGCTTGAACATTGAGGTCTTAAGAAACGATCATAAGTCGGAACAATATCGGAATCAAATAGAGACTGCACTGATGAAACTGTGGGTAAAATCCAATGAAGTAATAATTACACAAGCAGTAGGAATGTTGGGAATAATCAAGCCAAGCAAAAGAGGCGTGTGGTTTGATGAGAAACGCCAGATAGTAACAAAAAAATGAGGCTTATTTAAAAACAATCCATACCAGGTGCACTAGGGGGGCCAAAGAAGAGTACAAGGTCCTCAAGAGGAAAGGATGGAAAACATAGAGGCACTGAACATCCAATATGAAACGAGAAAGTTCTTTAAATAACTCAATGAAACACGGAAAGAATTAAAACCCAGTACTAAAAACTGTAGAGACAAAGAGGGAAATATAATGAGATAAGCACAGAGGAAATAAGCACAATCAAGAGATGGTGGAAGCATCTAACCAGTTTCAACACTGCAACCAATTAGAACAGGACCCCCCTACCCAACAAGAAGTTATTAACACCATTAAAATACTAAGAAATAATAAATATCTAGGGATTGATGAAATATACAGCATAATATATAACAAAGGCGAAGATAAGCTGATTGAAACGATGGATAAACTGATCAGATTGATATGGGAGAAGGAATAAATGCAGCAGTATGCAAAATAAAATGGTCGATATACTGTATAGCAGACTTCAGCCCTATGCTCAGGAAGTGCTCGGGGCGAGTACCAGTGTGGATTCATCTCCGGAAGATTGACTATTGACCAAATTCACTCATTGCAACTAATTCTGGAGAAGAATTCTTAAAATTCTTGAACATGGCATCAACACGCAAAATCTGTTTGTTGAGTTTAAAGCGGCGTACAACAGTATCAATAGATCTGTCCTCCTTGATGCTAAGGTAGAATTTGGTATACTAGAGAAATTCGTACGTCTAACCCAAATGACAATAACAGACAAAACATCATCTGTTCCGTCACTAACAGAGCGTAACAGAACGTACTACTTAGTCTGTACGAGCTTCCAAATAAAGCAAGGCCTGAAATGGAGAGACTCAGTGTGAATTCTGATTACTATTTAATTTCGCACTGAAAAAGGCAATCCGAGAAATTGGAATAAGAAGGGTGGGCACAATTTTTTATTGATCAAAACAACTGCTAGGATATATGATGTTGATATTGTGGGTCGTAGTAAAAGAGATGTGGAGGAATGCTTCAACGCACCGCAACAAGCTGTAAAGAGAGTCGGCTTTACTGTTAAGCAGAAGAAAATAAAGTCATTGGAGACCCGTCAAACAACCTTTTGCCAACAATTCAGTTTAGCGAACAAGTACAGATTCGTAGGTCACCAAGAAAGTCGCCCCTGGACACGTTGGATGGATGGTGTCGAGGATGTCCTTGGGAGACTTTTGGAATGGGTCTTCCTCAACTATAACTGCAACTACACTCGGTAACCTTTAAGTTGTAAATATTACTGTGTTATTAACAAAAACTTCTCTTACACTAGTGACGTGGTAGGTACATATAGCAAAAAGTAAAAAAGTCAGCATAGTCATACATCAATAAAGTATACCAAATTCATACGGAAATTTAGGGTAAAAAAGGAAAGCATCACAAACGAGGCTTTCCGTTTCATGTTCATAGGAACGTCAGTCTTAAATATATATAAAATGGACGTATTTTTCGTCTATTTTACAATTTTAACATATTTAGAGTTTTCAATTTTAAATTAGTCAATTCTAATTTGTTTTTGTGCAACATTATTTTATTGTGGTGGTTTTCTACATTGTTACATTTTTACATATTGAAATGTTCATCACTTTAATTTTTTAACATTGCTACTGAGGATGACTTTTACTTGTCGAAACATGTAAAGCTGCAAAATAAATACAATAACCAATATAAGTACAAAGAAAACATCTTTATTTTATTGTTACTTAATTATTGGTTAATATGGATTTTGAACTAAATCAATTTAAATATATCCCCCAGTTTTCCATAATCTGCCCAACCTACATATCTTCTACAGAAATCGCATGTCTAATTGTCTCTACCGATCCGGATTTCATGGCCTAAGTTGTTATAGGTTCGATAGGCACTTAGTTTATCATCATTTGTGTTTTATTATAGTTTATTTTCTGAGATGCTTTTTGTATTGCTTGTTGTAGTTCTTCCAACGTTTTATGGGCCCCTGTAGATTGTCTGATTATTTTCGACACGTCATCAACCTTTTTTTGTAAGTGAAAAGTGATATTTTAAACATGTCTCTAACTAGAAAAGGACTTTGAAAAGAAATTGTTTATCGGATATTCATCAATGTTATAAAAATTTTTAAATCCAAGGCTTTATATTAGTTTTAAACTGTTTAGCATCACCGACCGTGACACGCTCACGCCATTTCAAGCTCTCATACAACGTGTAAAATTTATTTCAATATCGTTCTTATTTCAAGTGTGATAATTATGTTTGTCGGCTACTTTACGATATGAGGTTGGATTATTTTTAATGTATTGTAGACATGCTAGAATATACAGGTGTTTCGGTGACTGTGGGAACAAATTTAACCATATATACTAGAGTAAAAATGACGACGATTCATGTAAAAAAATTAGTAAAAGTCCTCAAATTTCAAACATACAGGCCATCAAAGTTAGGAAATTTTAATACATTTTTCTAAATATCTTAAACATTATTTATAGTAAAGCGATGAAATTTAGTACAGTATAAATCTATGTCACGTAAAATCGTTAGGCAATTTATGAGTTAGATCGGTCCGCGGGAACAATACTACACAGGCTGTTATGTACTTTTTTTATGTTTTTTTATTATTCCGGTTAGTGTTGTCGTTTTTTTTGTTTATTTTTAATTTATTGTTTTTGTATTCTTTTATTAAATCAACTAAAACAAATTAAAAATGGATTTAGCTAAATCTACACTTGGACATGTTGCATACATAATAGTTATGACGGCTCAGTTCGATTTTCACTTGTCATTGCCAATTCAGATTTTTTTTTATAGTGTTATTATTGAATTCGGAGCCTAACATTTTTACATTTAATACGAAAACGGTGGTTTTTATCAATATTCTCTAAGAAGGTTAAAAGTTTCTAAACAAAATTTATTATTAGAAACTGCAAAAATAAATGTATGGTTTTATGATAGAATAAAAAAGTTCTGAGCAAACAAATTTTAGGAACAGCTGTATATGTGGTTACATTTGTTCCCCGAGTCACCGAAACACCCTGTATAAACACGGAACACTCAAGATATTCAATTCGGATAATTTGGCTCTGCAACATTCAGCAAAGCGTAAACCAGTCATGACTTTCAAGCATCTCCTTTGCATTCGAAAAGCCAAAAATACACTTATTATTAACTTCTTGACCAAGTTTAGCACATGAGCCTCCCAAATTAGCTTGGAATCAAGTCTCACTCTCAGATATTTCGGATTCCACTTTTTAATATTTGAATTAGCCATGGCTTTTAAGTTTAGAAAGTTTTTCTTCAATTGTATCCAGTCTTTGCATAATTTGTTGTCACAAATACATGTATAGTACTATTTTCTTTGCAAAATTTTACAAGTTCAACTCGTAGTTCTTAAGCTTCTAGCCTGAGTTTAATTTAGGTTTTTCTGTTAGCACTAACGATCGTGGAAATCGCTTCTAACTAATAATTATAATGACTTACTACTTTCACGTTCATGTTCTGGAACTGGAACACAAAGTCAGTGAGAGCTCAGTGGCGTATGCGAATAATTTATTGTCGTTGATCGAAAAAAATAGTTGTTTGCAAGTAGAGAGTACAGTTCCACGAGGGTGATGACGTGTTATTGGGGATTTGATGTGAGAGTTATGGTAACTGTTTATAAAGGATTGTTTCTAGGTATTGTGTTATACTACCTGCGTTACCGTATTGGTAATACAGTGACTGGCAGAAAACTACCGTCGATTCAGGGATTGATGTTATCAGTTATTTAGTAGTAATACCCTCCATTATATACAACATATATTGTGTTGATGGGCAGACAAAATAAGACAAAGATGGGAGTTAAAGCAGCGAGATACATCATAAAATGAACGGATGAGTAATGATTTTATACCGATTGGGTTTCTATTGAGGGTTTCCGTGAGGTCAACACAGAATAATTCCATGAATGGGTTATCACCTGGTTGTCCGTGGGTAGTATTTCTTTGAGTAGTTCCTTTTTGATTATACATATTCTTATTCCTAATAGCTTTGTATAATAGCTTAATATTCCCACTAACTTTGTTAAAGAAGAGAATTGATCTCAGAGACATAAGAATAATCTCTAACCTCTATTATAAGCAAAAGGCAGAAATACGTGTAGAAAATTTAATTTCTGATGAAATAGAAATTCAAAGAGGGGTTCGACAAGGATGTGTACTTTCACCAATCTTCTTTAACATATACTCAGAGGCATAACAAATAAAGAACTTGATGTAGTACATATAGGCAGTAATATCAACGGTACGCTAATAAATAATTTGAGATATGCTGACGATACGCCAGAATATTAGCCAGAACGCACAAAGATGTGTAAAACCTTGTTAATAGAATAGTTACTGTAAGCGAAGAATATGGGTTGGCTCTGAATATAAGAAAAAAAAGTACATGGTTATTACAAAAACAACAAGAAACAATAATAAGATATATGTAAAAGGCTAACCTATTGAAAGAGTAAAAGAACTCAAATATCTAGGCAGAACGATTGATGATAACAAAGACAGCTCCCAAGAGGTGCGCATTAGAATTGAACAGACTAGAAGCACGTTTAATGGAAAGAAGAAGCTTTTTTGTGGATCTGAGTCTGGAGTTGAGAGTGAAAATGATAAATGTGCTATCCGTGCTATTCTACGGAGTGGACGCGTGGACACTTAAGGCGATTGATGTGAAAAGACTGGAGGCATTTGAGACGAATGTTAAAGACTTGATGGGTAGAGAAAGTGAGTCACATGTCACACGAGGAGAAAAATACAAACATTTGCAAATCATAATGTAGGGAAAAATTCTGGGAAAGAGGTCCATAGGAAGAAGACGTAACTCCTGGCTGAAGAACCTTCGGGAGTGGTTTGGCTGCACCAGCAACGAAGTATTCAAGGATCCTAAAGTGAAGATTCCTAATAGCCAATTAACACCTTAATGGAAAATTCATTAAGGTTTTTTAATCAACACTTATAGTTTTACAGGTGGGATTTACCATGACGTCAGACACAACTCTGATAAAAAATCCGTTTTAAAATTGTTTACTCACCGATTATCTATTTCTTTATTATAAAATAATTTATACAACTTTTTTTTTGTCAAACATAATTTTCCGTTCAGTTTTATAAAACACTTGATTAAAAGTCAAACGATTTCAGGTGCTAATTATCTTTAAGGACCAAACATGGTGTATTTCACAAAAAACGTATAATATGATTTGAATTTCATTACTGAATGAAATATTTTTTCCAACAATTGTTATAATCAGTCCACCACAATATCTAATAATTATTTTGTAGATATAGATTATTTTAAGGATTATCTTCCGGCACTAAATTTTGTACTTAAAAGGTTTAAAAGGTTAAAAGGCGTTTTACGAAGTATTGTTTATTAAGTGTTGTTGTAAAACCATACCTCTTAAGATTAAGATAAGACAAGATTAATTAATTCATTAAAAGATTAATTAAAAGATTTAATTAAAATTAAATCTGTTAATCTGAACTTTTTTAGATAACTTTTAATATAAACAAATTAAAAATGTTTTAATTAAAAGAACAAAATAAAGATTTTCATTTCTGATATTAACAAATTTTACTTTTAATTTCAACGATTATTAATTGTCTTACTCTCCACGAAAGGATAACAAATTTTTATTTTGGGAAACATGTTATTTTTAAAAAAGTTCTTGCTGAATTCATTGAATGACATAAAAAAAATTATTATAATCACCTGATCAACTGATAATCACATAAAAGCAAAAAATTCTATTACTAGATTTAGTGATAGTAACGACTCTCACAATGAATTCAATGACTCGAGTATATCACACCACACATCTATGTTTCAATAGAAAACCTCTTTAAATAATCTATTGAAAAATATTTAAAAAAAGATGCGATAAATTCATACTATTTAAGCAAGAATCTCGAATTGCAATATCAGTTTACGCTATTTATAACAACCTAAACCATAATTTAAGTTAATCCTTACTTTCATTATTCAACGACAATGAGTAAGTTAAAAAAAAAATAAAATAGAACTTTAATAATTTCATTAATTTTTAGCTAAATATTTTTCCGTTGCAATCTTTGCAATTATCCTCCAAGCTTCTCTCGTTTTGGCCTATCCAGATTGTGCCACAAATGATCCAGAAGATTTAACTTTTTACCCAATGCCCGAATGCAATCAGTTTTATCAATGCGTTAACGGAGAACAAGCAGTTTTCACCTGCCAAGAGGGTCTTGTTTTCAACTACGAACAACAATACTGCGATTATCCCGAAAACGTAGATTGTGATAATCAAGTTGATCCACCAACTGAAGAACCTGAAACTACTGATGAACCTGGAAGTACCGATGAACCTGAAAATACCGACGAACCTGAAAATACCGATGAACCAGTTACCAATCATCCAGATTGTGGGTCTGAAGAAGATTTAACTTTCTATCCAATGCCCGAATGTAATCAATTTTATCAATGCGTCGGTGGTCAAAAATACGTCTTTACTTGTCAAGAAGGACTCGTTTTTAACTTCGAAGAACAAGTTTGTGATTATCCCGAAAATGTTGAATGTGAGTAATGTAAGGATCTAATATGAACAGGATTAGATAGCGATGTAAGATTGAATACAAATATTGTGATTGTTTAATAAATTCTATTTTAATGCAAATTGTTTTTAACTTTTTAAAACTTATTTAACATTTTCAATTAAACTCCATTTCAGAGAAATGATTATGACTCCTTAATAAAATAATAAAACTCTGTTAACCCTAGAAACTTAAGAATTAAGTATATCCTAAGTTCAAACATTCTTTACATTACATCAAAAAATTGCCTTTATCAATTACGAACCGATCGGGATAAGAAAGTTTGTGTCATTAACAAAACTTTAATGGCTCTAATTATAGCAAACTTAACTTCTTAGTTTCTGCACAGTTCCATTTTTTCGTTTTCATAAAACATTAAATCGAAATTAGCTGTTTATTAAAATTACGACAGACGGATAAAAGTTATAAATATATTAAAGATATAACTTGCTTAGAAGAAAGAAAAAGTTTTGTTTTTTTTTGCTTTTTCTCAAATAGTTAATTATTTAAAATATTTTAAAGTAAATAGGGGCCAGAGGGAGTAGGGAAAAAATTGTTTATCAGAAATTGAATATAATTTTGTTTATAAAATAATTCGTAAGTATAATAAGTATTTTGGTGTATTATGAACACCGGGAGTTTTTTCAGAGTTGCATATCTAAATATACGATCACTTGTACCGAAGTTGCTTTTGATTAAGTCACTACTAGTGCACAATAGATGTATTAGCTTTGTCTGAGACGTGGTTGGATGAGGATAGATTTGAAATTGTGAACAATTTAGATTTTGGTAATTTCAGTTTTGTGTATCGCAGTGACTTGCGATGCTCGGTCAATGAAAGTTCTATTAAATTTGAACAGCTCTGGTTGAGAGTGTCTACTGGATCGGGTATCATATGCCTGGGTTGTGTGTATAAACCCCTTCTGAGCATTATAAAAATTTCTTGGATGAATTGGAAAATTCGTTGTCAGGCATGTTGATGTCGACAGACAGAATATTGTGCTGTGGAGATTTTAATATTGATCTGCTAAATTCTCAGAGTAAATATACAGATTATATCTTGTCTTTTTATGACTCTTTGGATGGCTTTCACCTGATTAATGCTCCTACCAGAGTCTCATTGTGACTCTGGATACGTCGACACTTTTAGATCTTATTTTTATGTTTGACGTGTTTATGATAGATTGCAGTGGTGTATTGCCTTGTGGTTTTTCTGATCACGATTTAGTGTACTGTGACTGTAAGCTGAGCACACCCAATGACAGAGCCTGCATATAAACTGGTCAGATCACTAAAGTATATTGATCAATTATCGGTCAAATCTGACTTAAGTAATATAGCCTTCAACAAAATATTTTATATGCAGGATATAAATGACAGTTTGCTTTTTTACTCAACAAATAATTAATATTTTTGACGTTCATGCTCCTTTACGTTTATGCAAGTTCACAAAGCCTAGTGCTCCTTGGCTAACGAATAATATTAAGTTTATGATGCGCCTAAGAGACAGAGCAAAGTCAAAATTCAGAAGGACAGGCAGTGCCTCACATTGGAACTATTACAAGGACTTGCTAAACTTTACTACTAATGCTATTAAAAATGAAAAGAGAGCTTATTTCAAATACATTTCGACCAAACGCGATTCTAAGCAAACATGGGGTGGTTTGAAACATTTGCAAAATAATTCTATGACTCATAATAACAGTCAATTACCCACACAGTTGCAGAATCCTGATGGCATAAAAAGCTTTTTTGTTCATAGTGTTCAAGATATCCTTGACGATATTACGTTGGGCGAGACTGATGATTGCTATAAAGAGTTTGCAGCTTTCACTTCAAATGTATTTTCATTTCGTACGGTTACCACGTCTATTATTATTTATTATTAATAATAATACCACGTCTGAGGTTATGGAAGTTATTTCAGTGGTAAGCTCTTCTTCAATGGGGACTGACTTGGTTGGTATTAGTATGCTTCGGATGTGTTGCCCTGTTATTTTGACGTATTTGACACACATTTTAAATTCTTGTTTAGTTGCAAATATTTTTCCTGATCAATGGAAACGGGCTGTTGTGCTTCCATTACCAAAGAAAAAGAATCTAGTTGATTATGGGGACTTGCGTCCGATCAGTATTTTGCCAACTATGTCTAAAATCTGGGAAAAAGTAATGAAAAATCAATTAATCCCTTATATTGAACAGAACAACTTGTTACAAGCTCAGCAATCTGGTTTTCGTGCTGATCATAGTTGCACTACAGCTACGCTAAGACTCACTGATGATGTTTTGGGTGCAGCTGACAAAGGTATGCTTACAGCGGTGGTACTCCTGGATTTTTCTAAGGTATTTGACACCATTGATCATAAATTGCTCTGTCGCATAATGGGGTTGTTGAGACTGGGTCGTGGTGCCGTGGCACTAATACAAAACTACTTAACAGGTAGAACACAAAAGGTAAGAGTTGGTGATCGGGAATCGCAAGAAGTTATTGTTCGTTCAGGTGTTCCGCAGGGTTCCGTCCTGGAACCGCTTCTCTTTGCACTCTATACTTCTAGTTTCGCTACCAACTTGTCCTCTTCTAATATTAATATGTATGCTGATGATATTCAAATATACCAATCATTTCGTCGTGGCGAGAGTCATGATGTGGAGACAAATTTAAATAGAGATTTACATATTATCCATAAGATTGCTAATTTCCGTCAATTGAAGATTAACCCTGTCAAATCTATGTGGATATGCTTTGGAAGTTCTGTAGAGAGTTAATATTGATCTAAAATTGGGAAATATCCCTTTAAAGCGTGTGGAGAATGTGAAGTGCTCGGGTCTAACACTTGATAATAGCTTTAGATAATAGTGGGCAGATTAATGATTATATAAAGAAAACTTATTTCTATCTTAGGCAATTTTATCCTCATAGAGCTTATCAAAAAACAATTATGTGATGCTTACCACGCAGTGATTGATATGGATACGGCTTATCGTATTCAGAAAGTACAAAATTGCTGTCTTCGTTACATCTTTGCTATCAGGAAGTATGACCGAGTATCGCACAGGCTGAAATATGTGAACTGGTTAAAAATGAGTTCTAGACGTGAACTGCTTACTTTGTTATTATTTCACAAAATAATCACGACACAGATCCCACGATACCTGTATGACAAAATTACATTTAAATCAAATGACGGAAGATATCCAACCAGGTTTTGTCTTACAATCATACCACCTAAATATAGAACATCATTGTTTCAGCGGTTTTTCACAAACCATGTCTATAAATCTTACGGAAGCTTACCTATGTCGGTATTTGAAGGATTGAGAGACATTTGAAAGGTGGTCATTTCTTTACCAGATTTATAATGTTGTGATAGATGAATATTGTTAGTGATAGAAAGAAGATTAAATCTAAATTGTCGAAAACATAAAAGAATTGTATAAAACCAGACTAAATATTAAATTGTAAAGAAAATAATTCGATAGTATAGAGGACGAGTTTCAGTACTTATATAAAATTATGCATAAAAGCAGCAGCGATAGAGGCGTTAGGTAGCCAAGCAAAAGAAGAAAAACGCCAATAGTCATTCGTGCGATGACAAGATTGAATCTGAAATAAAGAAAAAAACAAAAATTATACAACACTGTGTTAAGCTTCAAAAGGCTAAACGATAAATTTAAGTATAAGCAAGTACAAGCACGTGTATGAAAAATGATTACTACAAACAAAAATTAAAAATGGGAGAAAAAATGCTACGAGAAAACAGAAAGAAGTTAGGAAATATACCTGGTAAATTTATTAATTGTGGAATAATCAAACTAAGATGATCTCAAATTCATTCCAGAAATGTATAAATGGATTGAATATACCAAAGGAATAGAAGTTGTTATATATATCAGTAATCACAAGAAAGGGGATAAAAATAAATGCGACAATTATAGAGGAATTATTGGTAACCAATACGAACTACTATCCAATGCGTTGGATAGATGGTATTGATGGAGAAATGTGGATGAGAGGACTGAAGGAGGAAACGTAGAGTAACAGAGATGAATGGAGATTAGGAATATATATATGTATAGCAATTTTACGTTTTATCCAATATGATGATAGCCAATATGACTAGAGCTAAGACATTTGAATCTTTTGTGACAAATTCCCGGCAAATCTATAAATACGGGAAGGAAGTAGTTATTATAAGCAACATGATATACGCGAATCGAATCAGTACGACAGTGGTTGTTATATAACAATGAACAATTTTTTCACTAATTGGTACAAGATCATCTCCACCATAAAATGAGTATTTCAAAACAACTCTCAAATACAATCGTAATATTCAGGCTTGTTCCACAATCTGGGAAGAATTTTTATATCCGCTTGTTTTTCCGGAAATATAACAATTACTTCATACTTACATGAATACTTTGAAGATGACAGAATATCTCAGATAATCCTGGATTACAATTCATCTAAAATAACTAGTCCCAAATGGCAACGGTATATAGTTGTGCACGTGGCAGCAAAAGATAGCTGAAACTTCATTTACTATTAAACTTAAAAATATGTTTCTTAAAACTAAAAGATAAGATTTTTTGATGTCCATCTAAAATTTGCCAACATACTAGGATTTTGGTACTTTTCCCATGTTTGTTGCTACCAGCTCCTAGGTTCTTAGAAAAGAAGTTGAGATGGAAGTTTAGAAAGTATATTTTAAGTGACATTTTTGTTCTTTTGAGAACTTCTATCATTCTTCAGATTTCTGTAACGAACTCAACCTTTCTTCGAATATATTATCTTTGAACAATTCCCTGGTCTGAGATATGACAAAAATTCCTTACTTTATTCTTGTATCACTAATTAAGGAAAGTATAAAAAACCTGAACAGTTGCGATCCATGCCTTTGACAACATTTTTTATCAAACCTAGTTTTATATTAAAAAGTGATAAAAGTACTTTGGTGGGTTCGACAAAAGGGGTGTGTGAATTTCATCTACAATTGCACTACATGACAGTAAATCGATGACATGATGATTTGCAGCGTCATTTGTCTAATTTGGCATTGCAGGTATAGGTAAATTATCACTA